AAAACAGTGCTGTGCAAAAGTCCTGAGCCCCCCGACGCACTGTGGAACACGCAGTGACTCACTGACACACCTGAACACACCGTGAGCCTGATGGTGACTCTGCGGTGTGAGTGGCTCTCGTTTGCTCATTTCTAGAAAAATCTCAGCGAGCGCCCGACAGCGAGCCCGTCATCACTAACAGTATCGATAAAGTTCAACTGAAGCAGCTCGTACCTTGATCAGAGACGCTCGTCCACTTGGACTGAACCATGGTGAACTCTCCTCTGATGATCTGATCGGTGACCGACTGATGACCAAAGCTCTCGTGGAACGGAGGGTAACCTCCCAGGCTGACATGGGAGGAGAGAGAGGAGGACTCAGTGATGAAGCCGGAGTTTCAGCAAATCATCAAACATTACATAGAAATTTTCACAGCTTTCAGGTGGAGATGTTTGACCTCTGACCCTGGCTGTTTCTCTGCGGCTTCCTCGACAGTCACACGCCTGCAGGAGCCAGGTGACATCGCCGCCGAAGTTCCATAAATGACTCGTAAACCACGAGTCATTTATGGAAACCGAGTCCTACAGGGATAAAAAGCGGACGCGTATTCTGCTTCTTCTTCGTTGGTGGTGTGAGCAGGCGTAGGATGCTGTGAACACCTCGGACAGCGACGCGTGCCGAGGTCTCGGGAATCAGCCGGTGGCTGCAGAAATGCCGTTTCTGTCAGACTCTGCCGCTGACAGCCAGCGTTTTCTGTCTGTATGTAATACGGATTCATCCCAGGGAGGAGCCTTTCTGAGACCAAAGGTCAGGTGACCAGGGACTGAACGTGGGTGTAAAAGCAGCCGATGCCCACGAGCACGTTTAACACTCTGGGGTCGACAGAGGTACCGGCGCGTCAAAATCACACGACCAATTTAAGACGACACAGCAACCAGCGACCCAGAGTCTCGTTTCAACCTGGGTCGAAGGTGCGGACTTCAAATTTTATACCAGTTCTGATAGAGTCTGAATGGGTTATGATAAAAGTACACGCCACGTTTTTCTGAATAAGACTGTGTTTACAGCAGGAAGAACGGGCAGTGCTAGCAAACACTTCCTTATTGGTGTTACTGTGTACCATGTCAACCAATCAAAAAATGATATGGCAACATGTGGCACTTGGTTGTTTAGGAAGAGGGGGAAGTTTGAAGAGTGCGGTCAGAGTGCGGTCAGTGTGCGGTCAGAGTGCGGTCAGTGTGCGGTCAGTGTGCGGTCAGAGTGCGGTCAGTGTGCGGTCAGTGTGCGGTCAGTGTGCGGTCAGAGTGCGGTCAGAGTGCGGTCAGTGTGCGGTCAGTGTGCGGTCAGTGTGCGGTCAGAGTGCGGTCAGAGTGCGGTCAGAGTGCGGTCAGTGTGCGGTCAGTGTGCGGTCAGTGTGCGGTCAGAGTGCGGTCAGTGTGCGGTCAGTGTGTTGTGTTGTAATTGTTTTATTTAGAAATGTAAAATTTCTTTTTGCACTTCAAGTTATGAAAATGACTCGTTAAACATGTTTGTGGGTTTTACAGAAAAAAATTAAGTTTTTCTACTCTGAAGTTTTTTTCGATGTCAATGGCTCCACGCAGGAAGTAGAAACAGACTCTGGCGTGCCGGCAGCGGCTCTGTTTTCATGTGCCGAGGGTAACCAGGCGGGCAAACGAGCGAGCGCACGAGTCGAGGCGGCGCGACAGGTGAATGAACGAAAGCGTTTCCCTGACAACACAAATCATCCATCATCACCCTGCAGCAGGAGGCCGGAGCCTACCAGACGAAGAGCAGCACGCCGAGGCTCCAGGCGTCCACGGCGAGCCCGTAACCTGTGGTGGACGCGTGCGTGAACACCTCCGGAGCCAGGTAAGATGGAGTCCCACACAGAGTCCTCATCAGCACCGCCTCCTCCAGGATCCGAGACTGGTTAAAGTCCGTCACCTGACGCGCGCACACACACACACACACACACACACACACACTCAGTGAGGAGGGAGGAGGTGGTGATGCTGCAGGTGATGCTGCAGGTGAGCGCACGTACCTTGATGAGACACACATCGTCCTGTGAGGACAGCAGGATGTTCTCCGGCTTCAGGTCTCTGTGGATGATCCCGTTACTGTGGAGATACTACACACACACACACACACACACACACACACACACACACACACACACAGTTACAGTCGCTGCACCTGTGTGTGTTTGTGTGTGTGTGCGCGCGTGCTCGTTACCATAGCAACACCAGCTAACCTCCACAGCACGAAGCATCTGGTAAAAATAAAGTTTGGCAACAGATTCGTTGAGCTGCTGCTTCGACTTCACTCTGTGGAACAGCTCCCCCCCCTCCATCCTGACAGGTGAGAGAGAGACACAGGTGAGAGAGAGACACAGGTGAGAGAGAGACACAGGTGAGAGAGAGACACAGGTGAGAGAGAGACACAGGTGAGAGAGAGGCTGCGTTCACAGAGTTGTGCGTCCACATTGAAACGGCCAAAAACGCTTCCGTTCCAGTCCTGCACGTGCGTGAAACGCAAGAAGATTCGACCTGCCTCATTTCTGTCTGCCGTTTATTTACGTTCCGGCTCGTTGACACGTCGGCAAAATGTGGAGGAAAAGCACCGAGTTTTTTAAATGGACTCACAATGAGGTGGAGTCGTTGCTGCGAGTAACACAAAAGTACAAAGTTGCAAAAGTGAGTGAGAATTAAAGAATTTGAAGAAAAGCTCTCAGGAGCATGTACAGGCTGATGTTGATCTTTTTAGGGCTGTCAAACAAAACAACTGCTGTGTAACGCCCTCCGCTATCTCAGTTTAATAGGTCACATGACTGCATCACATGACTATGTGATAAGCCTTCTTAATCTGTTTTACCAAGTTGAGGATGTAAGCACGCTCCTCCCGCAACACGCGGTCCATTTGGGCGTAGTCTGACACCACGATCTGGTTGTCCATATCAGTCTTGGGAGGGGACAGACAGAACTGAATAAGGCCAATTTTGGCCTTTTCCACTCGGGTCACACCAGTGTTGGCAACTCTTTGGAAATTCATTTTGGAAAAGCACCGTGTTCAAATGTATCCGTTTTCAAAACGCGGCGTTTTCCTTGAGCGAAAACGGCGTCTCAGTTTGGACGGGAGGCCAAAACGGAGAGAAAAAAACAAAAACGTATTAGTGTGGACGTGGCCTGAGAGACGGGTGAGAGAGACAGGTGGAGTTTCACGCACAGCTCCAACACGATGTAGAAACTTTCCTCCGTCTGATAGAAGTCCTCCGTCTTTATGAGACAAGGCTGCAGGAGACAAGGAGTGAAGAGAAGGAAAGGAAGGATGAGTGTTGTTACTGGCGATAAAGGAGCGTTCCTGTACTTGTGCTTTTTCTTCTTCTTCGTTGGTGTTACTCACGTGGTCGACCCTCTGCAGGATGTCAATCTCCGTCTTTGCGTTTCGTGTCGCCGTCTGTGATTGGACAGAAAAATAAGTTGTTGTTCCCCTTCAACTCAAAATAAGGTTGAGACGCCATGTTTGTAGTTCTCTGGGAGGTATCTGTGTTTTCACACCTTGCTGACATTTCATTGGGTTAAACTGAGTTCAATTCAATACCTGATTGGCTGGCACCAGAAATATTTAAATTAAGCAGTGTACTGAGAGTTTCCCGCCCCCATAGTGGTGATTTCATGCAGTGCACTGTTAGTTTGACAGAGAGGGGTGTCTGCATTTTTGACGCTATTAAAATTAATAAATGAACTGACACCATCACACCTGCTGACAAACACGCAGTCGAAAGAAACGAGCAGCGGGTCTCAGCCAATCAGAGAGCAGATGAGGCGACTCACCCCTTCAGACTGAAAGTTCTTCTTGTTTATGATTTTCACTGCAAACTTCCTGCAGGTGGATCGCTCGAAAGCCAGCCGGACCTCGCCACACACTCCTCTGAAACACACACAGTCAGCAGGGTGGCACAGGAAATGACATCACAACGCCACGAAACAACTCACGTGCCGATGCGTCGCGTCAGTAGGTATTTGTCTTGCAGGTCTCTGGGTAGGCTGGACTGATCGTCCGACATCAGGTCGATGAAGACAAAGACTGCAGAGAGACATGAGCAGGAAGACATGAGCAGGAGGTGAGACCGGCACCAGGGTGTCCAGGTGTTTTCAGGTGCTGTTCTGGTGGGCGGAGTCACCTCGGTTTCGTTGTTCAGCCAGAGAGATGACGGCGTTATTGACCAGAGGAAGCTTCTTGTCTTTCCCGATCGGAATCCCATCGAGAAAAGTGCCGTTATTACTGAGGTCCTCCACGAAGACCTCCGAGCCCTCCTGACACACACAGGTGGAGAGGGCGACGTTAAAGCCCCGTGAGCGCAGTACTCACAGTACGATCAGTGCTAATATCAGTGCTAGTAGTACTGCAGTAGTCTCACTCTGTAGATCCTGAAGTGTTTCTTGCTGTAGATTCGGAACTTTCTGGAATTTCGGTCATTTGGATCCTCCAGGACGTAGTTACACTTGGAGTCCCGTCCAAACAGGTACTGGTCCTCTATGCAGTCTGTAAACAAACAAACAGGAAGTGCTCCTCTATGCAGTCTGTAAACAAACAAACAGGAAACAGGAAGTGCTCCTCTATGCAGTCTTCTGTCCCTCCGTGGAATTACAAAACCTGCAATTCTGGGATTTTATTTGGTTGCTAATTAGCAGCAGCAGCTAGCTCATCCTTTGGTCACTGCTTGAAACAGGAAGAGGTGTTAAAAAAACCAGGATGCCACGTCCATCTTTTATCTACAGTCTAAAGATCTGTCACACCTGAAGCACTGTCTGCTGAACAGAAGTATCCTGATTACTTCATGTGTTATTTAAAGTATGGAACAGCAGAGCTCGGCTGGCTGATTATGCTAATTCTGCTGCTAATTCTACTAATTACTATTTCCAGACACAGCACAATATGTTCAGTTTAATGGAACCTGATTAAGAACAGAGGACGAGCCGGCGTGTTGTGAGCAGCGGTACCGTGGCTCCTGAAGCCCGGGACCATGGGCAGTAGGCGGCCCCAGGGTTGCGGCTCGGGCTCCTCTGGGACGGACGCGAGCGTTACGGGGATGGTGTCCACGCTGCTCAGAGTCCCCGAGCCACTCGACGACTGACTGGCTGAGCTGGGCCCACTGGATGAACTGGAACCAGGCTGGGACTGGGACTTGGCCTGGGACGGGGACAGGGTGGACTGGGTTTGGGACTGAGGACGCTCCCCCTCAGGAGTCCCCTTTTCAGACATCCTTCAGCTCTGCAGACACATGAGAGACAAAATCAAAAACAAGAGAAGAAGAGTTTGGGTTTCTGCCGCAGGATCGTGGACATCCGTGGGCTCGGAGCCCCAGAGCACACAGTGCAACATCCCCACGCCCCACTGTGGCAGCGTTCAAACACAGACCGCGTGTCCGAGACTCACACTCACCGTGAAACCGGAACCCCGCCGATGCTGTCAGTGTGCGCGCGCCTTCTCAGCGAGCTCTGCACTCAGCCGAGCCAGAACCAGCATCCGGGTCTCTGCGCGTCCACGAACCGCGACGCGTGCTTCGATTTCTTGACCGGGACCTTGCGGGACACGCGCTTCCTTGTGGGCTATTTTTTCTCTGACGTCACGAAGTGGTTCCAGCCAATGATAAGTGGGAATGTGGATCACGTGCACCGGGAGCCGTCGGCTGGTGTTTCCGGGTTTGGTTTGGTCCCGCAGAGGAGATTCAGAGGCTGATCGATAGTTATGATCGATACGTGAACGGAAGTCAGGGCGCGGAGCGAGCCACGTGTCTGTCTGCGAGTCCGACATGTCCAACCAGAGAGGCGGCAAGACTCTGATCATCACAGACGGTGAGTGTCCGGGGGGGAGGGGGTCTGCAGTCGCCATGTGAGCCTCCGTCACAGCTCCAGCTGTTCTGTGTGTGCAGATGAGGAGGTGGAGGAGGTGGAGGAGCTCAACCCGTTCTCCTTCAGAGAGTTTCTGCGCTGGAAGAACCAGGACCCGGACCCGGAGCAGGCACGCACTGAGGTCAGAGCTGCACAGCTGCACAGCTGGAGGTGCACCTCTGTCCTAAGGCAGCGAGCACAAACACAGAGTGGGTCTGTGCTCACAGCTGTGACACGCGTGTACATGTGCATATTTAAAAGAGTGACACAAACTTCAAACCGCTGTGGCGGTCGTGGATGTGATCGCTGTGGGCCGAGCGTGTAATCGGCTCTCAGCTCAGACTCAAACCGTCCATCGGCCCCACGCTGAGTGTTCAGCCCACGTCATGCTGCTGTAACTGTTCTCATGAAACTGCAGAGGTGACCTGAGCTCAGCTGCTGTTTCTCAAAATCTGCAGAAAACAGCGTCTCCGTCACAAACACACGCGTGTCACAGCTGTGAGCACAGAACCACGCTGAGCGCCTGCAGTGACACAACACATGCTCTGTGACGTCATCTGACCCCACCTGCTCCTCCTCGGAACGACCACAAACCACCGAGGTTACAACACAGCGAGGAGTCAGATGTGCGTTTTTGTAGTCCAGCTCCGGCGTCACGCCATTAAGCAGACACGAGTCTCAGCATCAGAAAGACTTTATTTATCCCCAAGGGGCAAGTAACAAACAACAGAGCAGCATAACGTTGATGATAAGGACAATAAGAGTGAGATAATAAATACACAGAATATACAGTTTTAAAATTAAAGTGACTAAAAGTGAATAAAGTGTCGGTAGTGTAAGAAGAGAGTAGTTCCTGTTTCTGGTGGGGGAAATGTTCTTATCTGCTGGAGTTAAAAGGCAGAGCTGCTTTGGGCACAAAGGTGGCGCTCCTCCTCCTCTCAGTCCTGCAGGAAATGCAGCGGCGGCGTCGCCCAGAGGGTGAAGAATGTGAGCGGGGTCGCTGATGATTTTGGCTGCCTGTCTGAGGCCTGTTGGCTGAAAACCTGCCAGACACTGATGCAGTGCGCTGCAGTCTGTTCCTGTATGAAGGCTGATGGAGTGGAACCAGCAGCTGATGGAGAAGGTCATGATGCTTTCCAGGAAGGCGTAGTAAAAAGTCATCATGATGGGTGTGCTGGCTCCTAAGGAGGTGTAGCCGTTGGTGGCACCTCCTGAGAATCTCCTCAGTGTTTGTCAAAGATGGTTCCCAGGTATTTGTACTCCTCAGCTACCTCCGCTGGTTTCCCGTGGATGGTGGTGGTGACTGAAGCAGCCAGATCCCTCTGCCTGCTGGAGAAGGTCACCACCACCTCTTTGGTGTTGCTCATGTTCAGTTCAAGGTTAGGAAAATCCCAAAAAGCTGGTTGTGTTCATCTGGACGTTTTCAGTGGGAGTCTCATCATCAGGTGACTCCTTCAGTCTCAGCTGACTGCAGGTTCCAACCTTATAAACAGGACATCTGCATAATGACTGACACAGCAGTATGGGCCCACTCTAACCCACTGATGAGTCCCACTCACAGAGGGTTGGGGAATGGCTGCAGTCACTGTAAGATGGTGACAGGTGTTCCCTTAGGCCCCTCCTTCATGCTTCGACATCAATAACCCACTGACAGGTGTCAGTATTTCCACGGCTGGACAGTTAAAAACAGTGTTTCTGCCGCTGCCACAGTGTAACCTGAAGTGTCCATCAAAAGGACCAATCACACCGGGAGCCTGTGCTTCTTTAGGCTCCGCCTACCCATAATAGCGTGAAACTAGCAGCGTGTTGGTTATGGAATATAATTTCGTACATTTCAGTTCAAATTCAATACCTGCGACTGATTCGCCGTTAACAACAAAGGCAGAAAACTTGATCAAATATCTGTTAACAGATGAAAACACAGTTTTCTCCTCTAAGCACACGGTCTGTCTATCATTAGTAGCTTATACAGGATGAGAACTTCAGCGCAGCATGCTTGAGTCTGTGTCCTCAGCACAGTCCAGGGGCCAGATGTTTGGTCCCCGTAAACACACTTGGCGCACAGCCTGAACCGTCTGCTCGGTGTAAACGTTGACGTACGTTTGGCTTCACAGCGACAAACAGACCAAAGCTCGTACGACCCGAGCCATGTTAGATATCGCTAACGTCACCTAACTTCGCCGAAGGTTAGCTGAGTTTAACGTGTTTTCTTCGTTATGCTAACATTCGTCCGTTTCTGGACCGCTTCCCTTCGACAGGCCGCCATTTTTTCCAAAACATTTCTTCAACCTCAGATTCGCAGTGAATCCTGGGATAGCGTGGACTACGAAGGATACACCCGACCCGCCTCACACAGCCTCTGTCTGTCTCATCAGGAGGAGGAGGAGGAGTGGGGGCGGAGCTTCCAGTCAGGCATTGGCAGCACCTCCTCCCTGTGCACAGAGGAGGAAGAAGAAGAGGAGGAGACCAGGTGAGTCAGATGAAGGGCGGGGCGTAAAAATGTCCGAGCAGCTTCTGTGCAGATGAAACTGCACCTGCCGTGAAGTCACCTTCACCTGTGTCACCAGGTTCTCCTCCAAACCTGAAGCAGCTGCAGGAGGAGGTGCAGTAGGAGGAGGAGAGAACTATGAAGGAGATGACGAGACCTCAATGGCTGAGCCAGCCACCTTCTGCAGGAGGAGGAGTGCCAGGAGCAGCCAGACGCAGCAGGTAACCCAACCACGGAGCGCTTAGTTCAGGGAGCGTGGGACAAAGCAGAACAGGCGTGTTAACGAGCTCCTGTTCTGTCTCAGCTGAAGGAGGAGAACGCAGCACTGAGGAGGACCGTCAGGGAGCTGCAGAGGAGAGCCGAAGTGAACGAACGCAGGTTTGTACCAACCAATCACAGGACAGCGCCGCAATATGTCGCTGACCAATCATTTACCCAGCATGCCTCTGTCTCCCAGGGCGTCGCAGCTCTCGGAGGAGCTGCTGCAGAGGAGGCGTCAGGAGGAGAAGGAGGCCCAGGACCTGGAGAGCATGGTTCACTCTGTGGAGCAGAACCTCCACCTGATGACGGTACACACAAACACAGTGTTTGCATGAACGTGTGTGTGTGAGATTGTGTGTGTAAAAATACTCTACGTCTGTCCATGTTAGAGGCGAGCGGTGAAAGCGGAGAACGCCGTTTCCAAACTGAAGGCGGAGCTACAGCAGCTGCAGGTGAGATGGAGAATGAGTCATTGATTATTGATAATCTGCTGGCTGTGTGTATCAGCGCGTGTGTGTGTGTGTGTTTGAGGCCGAGGTGGATTCTCTGCGGGCTGAGAACAACGGTCTGAAGTCGATGGAGTCTCAGGTCGTCATGACGATGAGGCAAAATGCTCAGGTGGCATCCGACTACCTGAACAAGATGGCGAGCCACGCCCACTCCTCCATCAGGTCAGTACCTGCAGACACATACAGCCATCAGCCACAACACCAAGCTGTTAATGCTGCTACTCTCTCCCTGTCACCTGTGTCTGTCTCACCTGTCTCTGTCTCACCTGTCTCTGTCTCACCTGTCTCTGTCTCTCCTGTCTCTGTCTCTCCTGTCTCTGTCTCTCCTGTCTCTGTCTCTCCTGTCTCTGTCTCTCCTGTCTCTGTCTCACCTGTGTCTGTCTCACCTGTGTCTGTCTCACCTGTGTCTGTCTC